CGGGGCAAGGTGTGAGGCTGGAGGAGCACCAATTCCCCTTCCCAGTCTGTGAGAGCCCAAGAGGTTTGGAATAGATGAGAGCATCCCAGCTTCGATTGACAGGATGATAGTCCTGGAGCAAAATAAAAGCTGTTTGTGCTACAGCAACTAATTCATTAATCAGGGGTGGTGACCTTTGGATGTGGGAGCAGTCTCTGAAGTCATTGCACAGCAGCTGTCCTCCACGGTGTCCTTTGGCTGTGAACGTGTTACTGTCTGGTGTGACCGTGCCCAAGCTTGGGAGGAGAGACCTTTCCTCTGTCCCACTGGGACAGCAAGCATGGTTTTGTCTCTGTAAAGTAAGTGCAACACAAAGCACAATTAGCTCATAAAAAATAACCTTCTTCAGTGAAATTCTGAGTGCTCCAGGGAAGGAAGGAAGGTAAATGCGGGAGAAAGGCTCTAGCCTGTGCATGTGCAGGGTGAGAGCAAAGAAGTAGAAAGAGGGATGTGGTGGGAAAGCGGAAGGTGTGTAACTCTGCGGGTTGTGGGGCAGCGTGCTCAGGGCTTGGTGTCAGGGGGCTGGCACCAGTAACTGAATTCGCATGTGGAAACACTTTGGAATGGGGTCTTCCTCATCTCCTTGCACTCTGGAACCAGTTTTCTTCTTTCTAATCCGAAGCATCAGGCTGGTTTAATGCAATTTGCTGGTTTTTCTGGAGCGGGTCTAACATCTTCTCTCTGACAGAGGTGAAGGTGACCTGACTCGGGCAGTGTTTCAGTTCACAGGGGTGGTTGCCGAGTGCTGCCGTGGTCCAAGGTACTTTCTAGTCAGTCAGACCTCAACAGCTGTGAAAGCTGTGAGCACCAGTTGTTTGCTGTAGCTACCCAGAACCCACTGAATTATGTTAATATCAGGGCAACAAAGCACAGGATTTAAGCAAATTGCAATTAGGTATGTGAAAGCTTTAGAGCACGTGCCACATTAAAAAAAAATAATAAAAAAATCCTGTAGCAGATTGTGATGTGAGTTTGCTGCTTCTCGCCTCCCCCAGCTACAGCAATGCAGCTAATGTTGGTAAGGGAAACTCTGCAGAGCAGGGAACAAAACCAGAAATTGTTCTAGTTTCTTGTATCCCAAAATAAATAACCAAAAAGAAAAGGCAGTGTGGTGGCATGGATCGAACCCTAGGGGAAAGGTGGCCCCTCCTCGTTTGGAGTTGGCCAGAGCAGAGTTAAGCCTCCTCTTGCCCCAGATGTTGAGCTCCTCTAACCCTGTCGTGTGTCTCTGCCCTCAGACTGCGCAGGCAGAAGAGCAGCTCCGCCAGCACGCCCAGATGGAGGAACGGCGAGTGGCCGACCTGGAGAGCCAAGTCTCCGAGGTGTCCGAACTCCTGGGCACTTACGAAAAAGCCAAGCAGAAGGACCAAGCGGTCATTCAGAAGCTAAAGGACCGCATCGTACAGTTGGACCTGGAGAACAAAACCCTGGCCATCGCTGCCTCCAGCCGGTCCCCTGTCGACGTTCACTTAGAAGAAGCCAACCTGGACGTTAATGTTCTAAAGGATAAAATGGAGAAGCTGAAAAAGCTCTTGCAGGCAGCAGCTAAGAAGAGCCAGCCCACTCTGGACATCGAGAAGCTGTGTGAGCTGGAGCTGCCGAAGGGCACCGAGGCTGGGGACGGCGAGAAGGCCACCGCTTTGTACTATCAGCAGGAGCTGAAGCAGCTGAAGGAAGAGTTCGAAAGGTACAAGATGAGGGCGCAAGTGGTTCTCAAGAACAAGTCGGCCAAAGACGGCAACCTGGCGAAAGAACTGGAAGAAGCACAAGAGCAGCTGGCTGATCTGAAAGAGAAATACGTGGTGCTTCAGCTGTCCGCCGATGAGATGGAGAAGCAGCACCGGCAAGACATGGAAGCCAAGAAGCAAGAGTTGTCCCAGCTGCAGCAGGTTCATAGGCAGGAACTGGAGCGGTGCCAGCTGGACTACAGGGAACGGGCCCTGAAACTGGAGGAGGAGATGCACAAACAGCGGGACCGAGCGCTGGCAGTGCTGGCAGAAAAGGACCAAGAGCTGGAGCAGCTGAGATCTGTCACGTTGCCTTACGGGCTTCAAGGATCCAAAAACTACCTGGCGCCAGGGACTGACCTTCCTAACGACTCACTGGGTAACGATTCCTCAGACGTTCTCCCCCAGGCTCTTCATCTCTCCAGCGAGCCCACCTTCTTCTTGTACGCAGAGCAGCTGGCTCGCAAAGAAGTGGAAATCGTAGCGCTGAGGAAGCAGAAGCACAAGCTGGAAATGCAAGTTCACCAGCTCCAGGAGAAAATCTTGGCTGAGGAGGAGAAGCACCGGGAAGAGGTATCGGCACTGCAAAGTGAGATCGAGAAGAATTTCAGAGACAAGAGCAGAGAGGGAGCCAACCTGGAATACCTCAAGAACATTGTCTATCGGTTTTTGACGCTGCCAGACTCTCTCGGTCGCCAGCAGACCCTCACTGCCATCCTGACTATCCTGCACTTCAGCCCAGAAGAAAAGCAGATGATCACGAAACAGTCGGCGTACGGCAGCTGGTGGCTTTCCGGGAAGAGATGAGACGGTAGCTTTCATCCCTAACTGCTTTTGCAAAGTAACACGTTTCTGATTATTAACCAAGACCGCTTCACTTGTGGTGTAACTTCTTTCCAACTATGGCATGGGGCAGGGAGCTTTTGTCAAAAAATTGGGCTTCAACTAGTGCCCTCCGCATTAATTTAAAGTGGAATTGTGCCAACTATTCCAGCAGGATCACAGTATTCTCTTGCTCTCTGCTGTGAGAATTAGCTCTGAGTTGGAACTTGATTTTTTTTTTTTTTTTTTAATTGAGATGCTGATTCTTTTTTAAACACAATTTTTTAAAAAAATCCCTGCCTGTCAGGCGTAGGGTGGGGAGTATTAGAGTGGGACTTGATTGTGTCTTCAAACAGTGGGCAGGCTTGTGACTCAAAAGATTTAAAGAGGGTGGGAAAGCACTTAACACGGTGCTAAAATAACCCAAGACAAAGAGCTGAAAGCCTGCAAAAAGGATGAGTCTGAACTTCCAGCATCATCCACATGCAGAAAATCTTGAGCAATTTCTCCTAAGTTCTTTTTTTTTAAATTATTTTATTTTTACCTAGAGCCATGTTTAGACCAGGGGATACAGCAGCTCCTCATAGCTCTAGGGACCACCTGACCACCTGGCGTGTCCCGATCCTCTCATCGCCCAGCAGGGCTTCTCTCTGCAGTTATTGGTACTTCCCGGGAAGGAGAAAAGATGTCTTAAGTATTTAACCCTTGTAACTGCAGCGGTGCAAGCAGTGATTCCCCAGCAGTGCCCGACCAGCAGGCGCCGCGTCGCGGTTCTCTTGGAGCAGGTATCTGAGTTTTCTGACCCCGTCTGAGACGGGAACTGGGCTATTCCCAAAAGCAAACGGGGTAAGCCTGAAGCAGGCCCTCTGACCCTTCAGCAGTCGTGTCCTGGAAGTTTTAGCGAGGTTTTGACGTTCTGCCGCGTTGGTTTTGGAAGCACGGCGTCACTTGCTTGCTGGGTGTTAGAAGAAGTGAGGGGCAGAGGAGGAGAGCTCTGGGGGCAGCGTGTGCTAACGCTGTGAGGATGAAGGTCCGGCTGGTTGTGGCACCAAGCTTGACGTTCTTACGTAACTCCTTGCAAACGAGGCGAGCGTGGCAGGCAGGAAGGCAAAACGTTCTGAAACACCTCTGCATCCGATGGGCTGCGTGTGCTCCGGATCTGGCAGGCTCGGTGCTGGCACGAGTGAACTCCCTTCCCCTCTGCTCCCACCGTAGGAACCTGACTTTCCTTTTGTTGTTTGAGCTCTGCTCTTGGGTTCCTTGAGATCCGACGGGGCTGGAGCAGGGGAATGTGGCATTTCACCCCCAGAACCCGTGCTTTCACCAGTCGAGGACAGTGGCTGTGTTACCCTTTGACTTCCATTTCCCCCACGCCAGGCTGATGGTCGAGACAAGGGAAGCAGCCACGTGTCTGGAGGGACAGACTGGATCCCTAGGGATCTCCCCAGTGGATCGCCTGCGTGCTGGGGACACTAGAGGGCACCCACTGGTCGCCCGGTCCCCAGGGATAGGGACTTAGGTGCAGCATCGCTCCTGCCACAGCCACCCCAGCGCTGCCAGGGCCTCCTCCCCGGGGACAGGACCTGAAAAGCAATGCCCGAGGAAAGCGTCGGGAGAGGGTGCAGCGGCTGAGCCTGGGTCCTGGCTGGTCTGCGTGGCCGACGGGG